ATTAAAGTCTAAGGGGTACCGACTCAGCATTTATTTCAGCTTTCGTGACTTTTGTCCTGGCTCCCTACTAATGGGTCCCTGCTTCCTACTGCTGGTTTGCAGGTCTGGGCTTCTTGGCTACAAACTTTGCATCTGCCAGTTTCTTTCCCAGGGCGCCTCGGTTCTTCTGGGCCGCTAAACAAAGCATAAACCAGAGCTGCTTTTTGACGAAAGTGTGATGATGGCTGCTGGCCTCAGCCCTGAACACTGCAGTTCTGGGTTCCCCCACGTAGTTCTGGTCTCAAGCCTAGACTGGAAAACAGGGCTTTAAAAACTAAATAGCCCTTAGAGAGCAAATTCACTTGATTTAAATTGGAGGTCATTGAGTGCTATGGTCTGAATGTGCCCCTCCAAAATCCGCATTGAAACTTGTTCTCATTGCCTTTTCATTTACACCATTGTGAGGCCTTCTCATGAAAGGACAGATTTGTGACCTCATTATAGAAACCCCAGCTTTATTTACCATTGGGAACGTTTTGTATTCTGCTCTGGAAAAATACCACTCATGTGTTAAGGCACAGCAACAAGATGGAGCTTGAGAAGTGAGAACATTTCTGTCTTTCAAAACATCTACCGCTTGTAGGTATTTTGTTACAGTAGGACAGAATGCTTAAGAGAGCGTGAAGCACCCTCCTTTATTCCAGAGTATGTTGTTCTGGAGTGGGAAGCTCTCCTGATTCTTTGAAGACCGGGAAAGGCCAGGGTTTGGTTTATGCTGGAGATACTGATAGGTTACTTATTGTACTGGCTCATGTTCTCCATCCACAGTTCATATAAAGCCAGAGAGTGAACACTGAAAAGAGTTATCTAGAGCGAGTGTTGGTTGTGATGTCTTGAAGCTGTCAAGCACATAGTAATCAGGAGTGAGCACCCCAGGTCACCAAAAGGGAGTACCAAACTTTGAATGAGAGCCCTGTTCACTCCCTTCTCCCTACACTCCTCACTGCCCACTTTTTTATGGGAAGAAAGGGTTGAGGAGGCTGACTCAGGAGCCCTCCCTGTTTCCAATTACCATCTTGAGAAATAAAACTTATTCCAATTATTATCCCTACCTGGTTTCCCTTTGTAATTAGAAATTGCAAAATCTTCCCTGAAATTTGCTTTAAGAAGGAAACAAATCATAGACCATGAATGCATTTTGTAAACTTTAAGTCACACATGGAACAATTTGTTCAGGGAAGCAGTCGGTGGGTAGCCAGAGAGAGGCATGGCTTCTGTTCCTGGGCTGTAGGGAGCTCTGAAAGGTGTTGTCAGGGATCATGATGGTTGATTCTGGTTGTCAACATGATTGGATCTGGAATCAACTAAGAGAGATGCTTCTCGGAGCAAATCCATGAGAGTGTTTCCTGGAAGGGGGAAGTTTCCCCTATTACTTCCTCCAAGCGAGCCACACCTTCTACTGGTACCCCAGGTACAAGGAAGTTCAAGGGAAAAATTATTTCTTTTGCTCGAACACCTTATTCTCTTGCTGAAGAGTGTACTTTCCGTTGCTGTCTCTCCTGATGTCCTCTTCTTACACCAGCATTCAGGTTTTTTACCTTTCCAATGTGAAGACCAGAAGCTTGCAAAGATCCCCCAGCCCCCCCCCCCTTTTTTTTTTACCAGATTTGAACTGTTGAGGGGGTCCAGCCTCATGGACTGAGCAGTGACTAGGTTCTTAGCCTCTCCAGCATGCAGCCAGCCATCGTAGAACTACCCAGAATGCACCATACCAGACAATCTAACACCCCCTCTTAGTATATACCCATCCTCTCTGCTTGATTCCTCTAAGATAGTGATTTTTAAGATGCTTCCTAATCTGGACTCTTCCCCAATTTAACAGGTTTCTCAGATGTAGTCTATGTTGGATTCATAATATTACTCAAAATGGGATCCATTTCTTTGTCTTGTGACTTATTTTTACTAATATTACTTCACTAGTATAAAAATAACTTTCTAAGGCAAGAAAAGCAATTCAGGAGCAGGACTCTCTGAAGTTTTCCGAAGGATGATTAGTTCCCCCCCACCCCGCTTTTTTTTTTCAGAAGTGTATTTTCAGAGGTGAATAAGTTATAAAGCCTACTTAAGAAAAACATGTAAAATTTGAAATAGAATATCGTAGAGAAATTTGTGTCAGCCTAAAAACAATTTAATTTCATCATGTAAATTCTAATTTCAGAGAAGTTAAAAAACTTTCTTCATATTTAAAAGCATTTAGATGGGAACAGTGAGTATGCGTATGTGGCTTTCAACAGGTTTGTCTTAAACTTTGTGATCACTTTGGGGGCAGCCGCATTAAACAATATATGCATTTAAGTTTGGACTTAAAGCTTCAGCGGTGTTCAGAGTCAGAAGAAGGAAAATAAAGACATTATTGTGTCTACAACAGTAGGTGTTTCCAAACTTATTTTATTAAATAGCTTCCAATGGCTGAAGATTTCAATATCAAATATTTTTTTTAAATCAGAAAATGTAACTAAAATAAATTTAAAGGTGTTTTTAATACTCTTTTTGGGACCAGATGTTTTGTTTTGTTTTTTAAGACTTCATGGTACCTGGTTAAGTCATTTATAGAAGTAAATCATCCTTTGGGGGAAATGGTAGCAAAATGAGACATTGTTTTCATTTCCTGTAAAGATCAGTGAAAGCTATGGGCTATGTTTGAAGTGCTAAATAATAGAGATAATCACTTATATTTTAATATTTGGTTTGGGGATATAAGGCAAATATTGAAAATGTACACGAAAGTGCAAGCACACACATAGAGGGAGAAGGAGAGAGTATGGGGGGAGAGGAAGAAAGGGAGCAGTGGGAGAGAGAGAAACTCAAGGTCAGCTAGAAGTTTCAAAATTCCCCTGTGAGAAAGACTTTTTTTTTTTCAAAACCTGCTAAGGAAAATATCCCTAAATAGACATTCCTAATGAAATGTTTCTGTAAATGATTAGGAGTTTTTAAACTCAGGGATGATGGCATAATAAAGGTTATGCTTTAGGGGGAAAATGCCTACATAGAGTAGAAAAAGTACCAGTTAAAAAATCACAGTAATTCAAAAAAATATTTTCAATGACAATTTCCATTTACCTGGTAAGTTTGCCCATAAAATTTACAAACTACTTTAAAAGTCAGCATAGACTTATCAATTTGTTTTAGTTTCTTCAGTTTTCTAATCAAGGGATTGGACTAACTTCAGCTCTAGTATTCTATGATTCATGTTAATATGAGGTATTAAAATGGTCCCATTGGTTCATTCAAATGATAATAGAAAAGGCGGCTTAAACTCACGAAGTCCGGCAATGTAATTTCTTGTTTGTTCAAAACATAGGGAAGTACTCAGTGATCAAAGACACTACCCAAGGTCCTAACCCACTCAGGTTCCACTCAGGACCCCTGCTTTCAAGTCTGCATGGCCACCAAATATAGTACACTGTTTCATTTTACTAAAGACTCCAAGGATCCCAGGCCCCCACTGCTGGAAATCTTTCTTATTTTTGGGATGAGATCGTTAACTTCCCATTTTGAGAGGAGACCTCAGCATCCTGATTTAAACATAAAGGCAGGGGCTATTGATCACTGGGATATGGGGATGCAGACGAACAGATGTGTCCACAGTGATATTTTTGGTTTATCATTTAATGCACCCAAGGAACCATTTTTCAAGTGTTTTCTCTCTTCTAGTGGAAAAATACAGAAGACTAATGCCTGGTGTCTAGGCTACCCTCCTGTGAGAGAAAAAGTCCCTGAAAGAAGGAAGGATGAGGAGAGTGGACTTGTAACCATCACGATCTGTGCCAAAATCACATTCTAGACAGTTAATTCCACTTAAGCCCCGGAAATCTTCCTGCTGTAAACCATGAATCTAGCCATGCTACAGTCTCAAGCCTTTTAAGGCAATCTCTTATTTAAAATTATTTAGTTTATTTCAGGGAATGGTATATAATAAGGTGACTAGGGTATCATAAGGAGAAAGCCCACTGATTTGGTTTGGCATGAGAATTTCTTAACTTTTTTGGGTGAAGTAGAGTTAATATTTAACTAACCATATAGTATGATTGCTTTTAAATGGGAACAATGAATAGCAAAGCTGTTTCTAAGACCAAACGTGTCGGATTCTGAGTACCTCAACTTCCCTACTTCTGTGCCACTTCTCAGCATTTCATGCATCTGGTGTAAGTAAAGTGTAGCCAAGGTATACTTCACTGTTTCTTATATTCTGTTGATGCTCAAATTTAGTGTAAGGCTTTTTTTTTTACACAGTATAAGAAATATAGAATAATTTAGCTGTCAATGAAAAACTGAACCTGATCACCCTAGTTAAAAAAGAAAAGAAACAAAACAAAACAAAACAAAACAAAACTGAACTCATCTTTTATCTACCATTATTGGGGAAAGAATTAGAAAAAGAGGACAAAAGCAAAGCAAATGACTTACCTCTCTACAGAGATAGAACTTCCAGGTAAAGCAGGGAACTGGAAACTTACCACAATTTTAACAAAAAATTAAAGTTCAGCACAATTTGATTCCTTTTCATATCTCATTAAGAAATGTTTGAATACTGAGAATAACAAAATCAATTCATCATTTTGTCCTGTCATTATTAAGGCAGTCTTATGATACTAGAACTGAGAGTCAAGTATGCAGTTAAAGCCATGTGAAACTACCAGGTGACATACAAAATTATGTGAAAGAGTCTTCTGCTTGCTTTAGAAGGCTGATATATTAAACCTGTGACATTTTTATTTAAACAAGAAAACAATAGTATCAGTTACCTTCATATGGGTTAAAATGCTATTTAAGATTGATTTCTGGAAAACTGCTAATGTTAGTTTTATGTATAATTCTTATTTTTTAATGTAGTTGATGGCCAAGGAAGCAGTTAAATAATACATCAATGTTAAACGTCTTAGGTGAATACCTATCAAAAGGTATGCAAAATATAAATAGGATTGTATATTTTCAAAAGTTATAAATAAACACAAAGAATATATAGGTCTACATGTTATAATTTCAAAGTCAACACTAGCACATAAATTTTTACCTAAATACATACCAGAATACTTGCTATGACAACACATGCACCTACAAACACATGGCCATGCACAGAACCTTGTTTTCTGCATTTGCAAGGAAAGTTAGAATATACAATATTGTACATTGTGTCAGCTTAAATCATATTGGAAAGTCAATGAGGATGGCGATAAAAAAAATCTAACCTAAGAAATTAAAGTACAAGGAGATAATTATCTCATAGATTAAAAACACTGAAGACTGATGGAAAGCTAGGGTTTAGATTGCTTGTCCCAGTGATCTTGGAAGATACAGAAGAGAACAGGATTGTTTGTAAACACTCTGAATATTCAGTTTTGCAAAGGGGATGAGAACTTCTGTAATCCAGCAATCCAGGCTAGAGATCTAGAGCATCTGGGCTTCTGTTTGCAGAGAGACTTTATAGCTGTGGGCAGTCCTCCTTAAGGCTGGGGGTGCGGATGGCGATCTAGATGCCCATCTGGATGGGAGCCGGCGGTTTGCTGGTCTAGCAGGTCGGGAAAATCCTTTTCCATTGGAGGCTTTCAGTGCTATGGATTCCTACAACACAAATAAAAGCTGTAAGCAATTTACACCTGACATCTTTATCCAAGAAATACATCCTTCTGACAATCATTATCATCATCATCATCATCATCATCATCAAAATAATAAAACTCTTCATGAGATTTTATACTCATGGTTAAAACAGGCCTTTCTTCTTCAAGATTTTTTTTTTAGATTTATTTATTTTTATTTCAGATACACAGATGTTTTTCCTGAATGCGTATGCCTGTGCACCGTGTGTGTGCCTGGTATACATGGAGGTCAGAAGAAGGCATTAGATTGCCTGGAACTAGAGATGCCATGCAGTGACTGCAAAAGCACAGCAAGTGCTCTTAACTGTTGAGCCATATCTCTAGCTCCTCTAATTGGCCTTGTTGTTAAAGCCAATATCCTTGCATCTGAGACAGGCAGTGAGAACAGACTCGGTGCCACCATTTCACTCATAGCCAAGCAATAGCCTTGAATTTTTATTGACTCTTTGGAGACTTCAATTTAATTAACAGGTTTTTTTTGTTTTGTTTTGTTTTTTTTTAATGAAACAAAGCAACACAAGCTGTTCCTAAATATCTATGGTAGAATAATGCCTCCCAAATCCCTGATCAATGACAAGGAGGAAGTGTTCAGCATCTGTTCTTAGATCGTGGGAAATTTGTTGGTTTGTGTTTGTATGTCTCTAGTCATAGGTCCTACAGATATATGGTTTCGATGAAAATGAAGAGGAATACAAAAGTCAGGGAATTATTTGAAATTCTGGCTAATGATGACAATGCACAATACAATATCTTATAAGTCGTGTTGTTTAAATTACATATACAAAAGACAATTTTGTATAAGTCATCATAGTAAATAACAACTTGCTTGACCTTTACCTTTACAATTAATGAAGACTATGGCTTTTAAATGCATAAAAACAGAAGGCTAAAGGTCTATTTAAATACCCATTTTTTGTTAATTTCCATGCAAAAACTATTTATGACTAGCTGTATTTTGTAGACAGTCTTTTAGTGACACAAAAAAATAGTTATACAAGATATTGTCTTAAATGATTATCTTACCCCCCCACACACACACACATTTATGTGGCTAACCCGATGAGGATATTAGTCATACAATCAGAAAAAGTCTGAACCAATCATAATTGAGAAAATGAAAGTCATTAAAAATATGTGTACTGAAAATGATAAACCTTTAGACTAAAACTCTGTAAATCAACAGATATGTATTCTGATTTTCTTTAAAGAAAGGAAACAAACAAATAACCTTCCCTGGGTTCTTGAAAGCATATTATATTAATTCTATCTATCTATCTATCTATCTATCTATCTATCTATCTATCTATCTATCTATTATTTTTGAAGCAAGGCCTCACTACATAGTCCCAGATAGCTGGAACTCATTTTGTAAAACACTCCAGTCTCATAGAGATCCACTTCCTTCTGCTTCCTGAGTGTTGAAATTAAAGGCACAAGTCACCACAGGTGTCCCTGAGATTATTTACTTAAAAAATAATACACTAGCTTGAGTTTTAAAACCATACCCTCCGCTCACATTAAGCTGAGCTCTCACAGATGGCCAAGACACTAAGAAGATGTCAAAATACGGCCACATTCTACTTACATAATCACACGATTACATAAGGTGGATGTAGTTCTTGCTTTCTCAACTGAGTCACCTTGCTTGACTCTCCTCCTTGCTCCACTAGCTTATCCCCATGCAAAGCAAACACCCCACCTGATGCATTTTTAAACATTGACTCAATATGGGGCCACCACTTACATCAGAACCACATTTGGTCCAGTTATCCCTGAAGCATTTTGAGTTTTGCAGTGCAGACCCTGTCTCAGGCTCATAGGTTTTCAGCAGCTTTTCCACAACACCGTAATTTGATCTGGGATCAGCTGACCTTGGTCGGCTAGAAAAATTGCTTGGTCTCCAATCATGTTCATGAAACATATGCCGATAGCTGCTGGGACTCATACGTGCCTGCATTTGTTTGACCAGGCCTGTTGTGGATACTCTTGTGGGATCACTGAATACATTTTCCAGGGGCCTAGGCATGTGGTCACTGTCTTTCAGAGCACTGTTCCCACTGTTGCTTTCTGGCATGTCACCTCTGTGAGTAGAGGTATCACAGGCATTGAGATTGTCAGATGACTTTGTGTAGCTTTCACTTCGCTGTTTTGCTTGACAATTTCTGTCTGTTCTGAATACAGTTCTGTTAAATTCATCAATCTTTGCTGCCAGTTTTTCATTCCTTGGAGTCCGTTCAAAACTGCAGTTGTGACTTATGACTGGATCCCTCTGTGTCACTGAGGTAAGAAAGTCATTTTTCACATGAAGATCAAGATGCAATTTAATAGGGTTATCTGGAATCACCTTTTCCACTTTTGCTCTGTTCAGAGTAAAACCAGTTTTTTGAGATGGAACAGAAGGGCTCTCCTTTGTACCTATTACAGTGTCGCATGACCACATAGTAAGTCCAATGTCTTCATTACCTGGAGGCTTGCTATCTGCTTTGACTTCTGATGTCAAAGAGGAAAACATGGTACTATCTTTTAAACTCTTGCTTTCTTGTGGAAACAATGAGGACTGCCTCAAAAGGAAATGAGGATTGCAATTCCTTCTGTCTTGACTCTCATGGGCCACCCACCTGTGGTATAAACTTTCCTTCAGTCTCTCTTGGGCTTGTGCAGAATATGAGCTGTTGAAATTTCGAGAGGTACTTCTTGGTGGGGGAATTGGAGGAGTTCCACTTCTTTGTAAATCAATGGTACCACCTCCACAGTTTTTCATAGAATTGTTTTGGAGTCCATTGACACAGCTCAGATTGCTTTTCTGCCTTTCTTTCTCCAAACTGGTTGGAAGAACGCCCTGGCCATTGCTGATTAAGTGGTCCCCATGAGGCAGAGTGATTGCATTTGGCATTTCCTGAAGAGCAGGATCTGATTTCATCCTAAACAATTATAAATCAAGGAATATTAGTGGCAATTTTCTTTTCAAAATGAGCTTTGAAAAGAAGCCATAGTTTTATAAAATGCATTTCTGCAATAGAAAAAAGAGTCACAATTTGCTAAATGTTTTATTTCTATGCACACATATGTATATGTGTGTCTGTTTCTGTGTACATATATAAATAATGTGCTATGTAAGTAATGCTACATATAATAATATGATATGTAGGTATATAATTATATATGTGTATGTATATACATACATACATACACACACACACACACATATATATATCTTAAGTCCACTTATTGCAAACCCTCTTTTTTTTTCACATGTATTTTTTTTAACCAAAAATGATTTTCTTGTTTTTAAAAAGTATTTATTTAATTTTTGGTTTTACAATCACACACATGAATACAATGTGCTGTGATTATATTCATCCCTCGTTGGCCTTTCTTTCTCTCCTTCCAGTCCTTCTAACTCCCTTTCTCTTTCAAAAGTTCCATCCTACTTCCAGGCCTACATGCATGTGTGCATGTGTGTGTTTGGAGGTCTTGTACATGTAGCCACCTTAGATGTGTGTTCATGATAAACATGGCTGTACCATCTCCAGAAGGTGATGTTTGTTAGTTCTCCTTCCTGTCTTCCTGCTTTCTTCCCCCTGTTTCTGTGGTGTTCCCTAGGCCTTTGAGTGGGTAACACTGTTTTCCTGTTTAAGGTTGATTCTCAAGGGTTGCTCATTCTCAGCACCTTGGCAAATTATGACTCTCTAGGTTCAGCATCACTCTCCCTAAAAAGAAGTGCTTATGATACAAGCTGAGAGAATCACTATCCTGTAAGTTTAAATGTAAATGAATTGAAAGTATTTTTTGACTACATTTCTGTTTGAGCAAAACATGAATAGTAAATTTTCCTCTGCAGTCTGTGATCTCTCTAGGTGCCAGGTTTTGACAGGGTTTACAGTAGCAGGTGTGCATTTCCTCCAAAGGAATGGGCTTCGAATCCAGACATGGTAGTTGGTTATTCCAAAATGGTCATGCCACTATTACCAGTCGTACCTTCCTGCTTGTTAGGTTGGTGTTGTAGCCTACAGTGTCTGTAGCTGGTTAAGATCATTGATATTCAGGTACTATGACTGCTTGCCAGCAGGAAGGAGGCTACCATCTCAAAGCTAGCCTGTATGTTTATTTTTATTTTTTAAATTTTTTTATTTAACTTTTATTAATTACACTTTATTCATTTTTTATCCCCCATAAGCTTCTCCCACCTCCTTTCCAGGCCCCAGCTTCCCTCCCCCTTTCTGCATGCATAACCCTCCTCAAGTCCACTGATAGGGGAGGTCCTTCTCTCCTTCTTTCTGATCTTAGTCTATCAGTTCTCATCAGAAGTGGCTGCATTGTCAGGGTTCTAGGTTATCTCCATGAATAGTCCTTGGTTGGAATATGAGTCTCTGGGAAGTTCCCTGTGTTCAAATTTTCTTGTTCTATTGCTCTCCTTGTGGAGTTCCTGGCAAGCCCTCTTTATTGTAGGCTAAAGTCTTAAGTGTTACATTCATGGATCTAACCCTAAACCTCATGCTATATTCAAACTAGGCAATGTAGTCTCTTGAGATTTTGTTCTGCACATTCCCATTTCTACAGTCTTTCTCCTGACATACCTCTTCTTCCTCTTTTCCTATGCAATTTCTACTGATTATTCATAATTCCTATTCAGCCTGTCCTTTTCTCCTGGGATTTTTACATGACGTTGAGAATAGTGTTAGTCTAAACAAAGTATCATGAGTACTAGGTAACTCCAAATGGGAAGAGTCATTTGAACTTGTAAGGAAAGTAAGATTGTTTTGTGAATCAAAGAAAGGGAACACAAAGAAATAGGCTCTGACAAAGTTTGTCCATTGAGAGAACAAAGAGCACCCTGGATAGATTTAAAGCAAGGTGAGAGTTAATGAACGACACAGAAACATTAGTCATGCCAAATCTTAGAATGGTGTCTGTAAACCACATGTTGAGGTTTTGAAGTGTTTTCTGGAGGCCATTGGGGAGACCATGAAAGCTTCACATTTTAATGTTTTTGTTTTTTTGAGAATTTCATACAATTTATTTTGGTCATATTCTTTGATCTTCCCACAACTCCTCCCAGATCTTCCCTACCTCTCTTCTCACCCAACATTATATTCTTCTGCATCACGACAGCTTTATGTTATATATGATTTGTAAATGAAAACTGTCAAGTCTTTGCATAAGAAACAAACAGAGCAATAATGTGGACTAACCGACAACAAAATCACATGACAAAAATAAATACTCAACCTGTGAAGAGCTTCTATGACAACTTACAATGAAGTTCAACAAGCAAACACTAACAGCGAGTAGAAGGAAAGCTAAGTGGAAAAACAGGGTCGTGCACAGTAGTAACAAACCCCATTGCAAGTCAGCTCAAAAATTCCCAGTTCTCATAGCTGGGCACGGTGGTGTACACCTTTCATCCCAGCATTAAAGGAGGCAGTGGCATGCAGATCTCTGTAAGTTTGAGGCCAGCCTGATCTACAAAGCGACTCCAGGACAGCCAAGGCTATACAGAAGAACCCTGTCTCAAAAAGCTAAAAAATAAAAATAAATAAATAAATTCTAAGTTTTCTGACAGGTAAGTAATAATAAGAAATCTCATTGTGGCTTTCTAAGAGAATATCAGAGTTTTCAATGAGCTAAATATTGATACAGAGTAATCCACACTTACTATACACAGAATTCCAAGTTGTTATTTTTAACTTAGCTAGAATTCATTCTTAAAACTACACAGTGATTCTGACCTAAAACAAAAGTTTGTACTATGTAGACATGTAGTGTGTTATTTTGAAAAGTACATATGTCTTTATCATATACCCAACTGTCGAGAAATAAATGACCAAGGCATGAAATGTTGAAACAGAATATCTTACATTGTTCAAACACCACACTATTAAATTTGTCATAGTTAAAAAGCCAATTTGACTAGATTTGCCTATTTGTACATTCTTCCCCTGGTCAAACACTCAGATTAAGAAGGAACTGCTCAATTCCTATCCAGAAAGGCAAAGAAGCTAGACATCAGAAGAAGGAGAAAAGAGGGAACAAGTCAGGAGCCTGACACAGAGGATCTCTGAAAGGCTCTGCACTGCAGACTATCAATGCAGATGCTGAGACTTATGGGCAACCTTTGGGCAGAGTGCAGGGAATCTTAGAAAAGAAGTGGGAAATAGTAAGATCTGGAGAAGACAGGAACTGCACAAGGAGAGTAACAGAACCAAAAAATCTGAGCACAGGGGTCTTTCCTGAGACTGATACTCCAACCAAGGACTATGCATGAAGATAAGACCCCTGCACAGATGTAGCCCATGGCAGTTCAATATCCAAGTGGGTTCCATTGCAATAGGAACAGAGACTGCCTCTGACATGAACTGATTGGCCTGCTCTTTAATTACCTCCCCCTGTGACCAGCATTACCAGGTCACAGAAGAAGACAGTGCAGCCACTCTGATGAGACCTAATAGACTAGGGTCAGAAGGAAGGAAAAGAGGACCTCCCCTATCAGTGGACTTGGGGAGGGGCATGCATGCAGAGGGTGGAGGAAGGGAGGGATTGGGACAGGAGGAGGGAGGGAACCACAGGGGGGATACAAAGTAAATAAAGTGTAATTAATAAAGAATTAAAAAAAGAAGGAACTATAGTAGAGGACACATATTCATATGTTAAAACTCTACCTTAACTAAATACCCAAAGAATACAGTACAGTATTCCTAATACTTAAGTTAATAAACATACTATAAGATTGCTTTCAAGAATCCATGAGTTAAGATATACATGATGAGGCAGTGTCGATTCACTGACTGTAACATCATCCAGGTTTCCCAGTCTACAGTGATCACAAGTGCCAGCCCTACCTTCTGTGGTGAGAGCGCTTTCGGATTTCCTCCTGAAAGGTACATAATTCTTCACTAACCTTTGCGAGTTCTTCAAGAGCCTTCATACATAACACATAAAAGAGAGCTGTTGTTAGCATGCTGGAGTGTAAATACTTTTGTAGAAACAGCTCCTGGCCGACCCAGCTTACTTACTGTGTTGAGGGCGACAGAACAGTCTTTACTCTCCTTAGAAGTCCTCATTCCAGCCCAGGCCTCACATGCCTTCTGTTCTGTGGCCAAAGGATTCTGAAGCCCTACTTTGGCCTCTGTGCATGTATTTTGCATTCGAGACACTTGAGTTTCTTCACTGAGGAAGTCCTTTTCTGTCTTGTTTTCCTTTCCCAGAACATCTCGGTGATTCCTCACTCTCAATTCACATTGTCCTGAATTGAAGGGCTTTGGAGGAAATTCCATTTTATCTTGATCATGATCAAGATCAATGACCTTAGAATGTTCACACATGTTCATTTGTCTTCGAAGCTTTACTTCCTGGCAAAGCTGTAAGAAATAAAAATTAAAAATTTGTTTTTCCTAATTTACTTAATGAGAATACATACATACATGTATATATATATATACATGTATATATCTATATCTATGTTTATATAAAAGAAGTCTCATTATGTAGTTCTGGGTAGGTTGGCACTCATTCTGAAGACCAGAATGGACTCAAACACCCAAACATCTAGTCGTCTTTGCCTCTGAGTACTAGAAATAAAGGTGTGTATCTCTATGCCCAGCTTGAACAATATTCTCAATACTAACCATATCATTTTAAATTTCTTTTGCAATATTACTATATACTACCATGGGTATTAATGCTTATTCATGCATGCAGTGCCTCTAAAGCAGGTACTAGCTAGAACAGGTTTTGGTGAATCAAGACTAGTTTTAGTATGACAATGCATAGACACTATATTCTGTTTTTCTGATTAAAAATCAACTCATTAAAAAAAATAAAAGAAGTCTGGGTCTATCCAAAATGCAAAAGCACATTTGCAAAATTATACTGACCCAAATCAATTACTGGCTGTTCTTCTAGCTGATTTCTGATATAACCAGACTTTAACATTAATAAAGCCAGTATTCTAAACATATGATTTTCTATAGCAATATTACCTGTTTAAATAGCTGACAGTATCATATTGTAAACCAACATAGCCTCCCCTCTAAGTAAGCCCTTATTAACATTTCCCTTCAGTTAATCAACTGCATTATTGAAGGTTAGATATCATCATGATATCTTTAATGCCACAATGACACATATTTTTTTTCTGATTAAAACAAGTGCATCAATGTTCTTCATGATAAAGCAGAGCTCTAAAGCTTGGACCATGTATCACCTCCATAAAGATAATCACAAGTTATTTTCTTAAGGAGCACTTAGTTAAATCAGACATTCTGTCAGCTCACCTCCAAAATAAAGGAGAAAATGACATTCTTGTGAGGCTTACAACTCGGAAAAGCTTATCATATTTCAAAACAGACTACCAAATTACTTTGAAGCAAATGTCTTTATACTTCAAAAACACAATAAATGTTTGTAATAATAATTATATACTTACTCAAAATTCATTAATATTTCCAGTTGAGAAAAGCACTATAAATAATTAATACATTAAGGATTTGTGGTTGTAGTTAGAGTTTGTGACTTTATGGGTTTCTTTTTCTTCCACTCTACTCCACCCCTTTTCTTCTTACCTTTCAACTCCCTAACACTAGACATGAGGGAAAAAAAGGATTGAGGGGGAAAACAGTGACATTACTGTTAGACTGCTTCCTTCTCATGAGGGGCATTGAGTTCCTTGGGGCAAATTCGATCTTCACCATCAGGATGTCTAGTTTCTTCTTGTTGTTTCATTGTACATGACTACTTAACAAAATGCAACCAACAGCATCCAACCAGCAAGCAGCAAGCAGCAACCCTTACTGTCTCTCAGGGCCCTAGCATTTATATATTCTCTGAGAAGTCCCCAGAATTCCAAGATACTATCTGCCACTGGCAAAATCAATCACGCCTCTGTTAGAGCATAAGGAAGTCCTAGTCACCCACTGCATAGCAGCCCCGTATCCCCACACCTGGGATTAAAACAGATACATATCCATGCAATGTTTCTGGGGTTTCGAATAATCCAAAATTATAAGATTCTCACTACACACGGTACTTTTAGATGTCTAATACTGATAAAAATCTTAGTCAGTCATCTCATTGACTAAAGTAAGGGTGCCACCAAACCACAGCAATAAATTGATTGTTTGATACCTACAGAATTATGCCATGATAAATTTAAGGACATTATTGTTGGTGGTGTACTCTTGTAAGAATTCCTAAATAGCACTCAGGAGGCCAGTGTCTGTTAGTGCAAGGCCAGCCTAGTCTGCAAAGTGAGTCCAGGACATCCAAGGCTACACAGAGAAACCCTGTCTCAAAACAAACAAACAAACAAACAAACAAACAAAAAATTGCTGTATTTTCAAACCCAGGGGAAAATTGTGCTATTCATGACACATGGCTTTTCATTTTGCATCTGATAACTATATTAGGCTCTAGAAAGACCCACTACTATACGCTGTATACAATTCCTTCTCCTGTATTAATCTCATCCTTCAATTTTTGCTTTGGCATACTTTACCATATATGTAATTTTATGCCATTGTAACTTCTCATGGATACTTGGCAGAAACAAATTTTAAAAACCAGTACATTGTCATGAATGGAGAACTATTTGTTTGGTATATGAAATTTGTCTTTCTTGACATTCAGCCCTTTTCCATGACTAAATGACCATTCTACCAAAGGACACAAGCAGAAAAGACTGTAAACTCAACACAAAATTTTCAAGATGCATATCAACTCAGTGTATTCATAATCATATGTAGATTATTCCAAGTTTCAAATGGCCTGAATGAATGTGGACAAGGGCTTAGCAGAGATGCACATATATCTTCATGCCCGATGCTTGCATTAGATGATATCATTACTTAACATCGTGGATGTTACAGACACATACTCAGAGTCCACACATCTCTAGCTGTGGCTCAAAATCTTGCAAAAATTTAATACTAGAACCGAGTAATTTTAAATAATCATTCTATATTTGCTAAACAACAGATATGTTAGACAAAAATACTACATTATGTTTGCATAATCATATGATTGCCAAATATATATATATATATATATATATATATATATATATATATATATATTTAGGGACAAGTGTCAATTATCTATATCCTGTGAAAATATTTTCTTGCTTTTTTTTCTCAGCGTTTTAAAACTAGCTTTGCATACTGTAAACCATTATGTATATGAGCAGAGGAAGGCATACAGTGCTTGGATTGAGATTTTCTCTATGGTCAGTACCAGTAGCACATTTTGCAAACATGCTCTCAACTCTGTCATTTTAATCACAAATAGGAAGTCCCTGGGTAAGAGGAGATTGAAGGAAGCCAGTAGAAAATGTTTCCCAAATTTTAGAGGGTCACAGAGTAGATTTGTCTTAGGATCATTAATCATAGATGCCTCACCTTATTTTAGATGAAGGATATAATAGCCCCATTTCCTTCACCTTTTTTTTTTTTTTTAGCATACAACGTTTTCACTGTGTACTTTATTCACAACCTATTTTCTGTTAATAAGAAAAAAGTATGCTTACACTGTAAACACGCAAAGCGTTTACTTTGCTTATCTGCTAAACGAGGCCCAGGAATCTGTTAAGTAACTGTTTTGTTAAGTTGAATAAACTATAAAATTTAATACTACATATATAGTTTTAATGTATACATACATATATATATATATATTTATAATTTTTTTGAGAAAGCCTGAATGCACACCAAAACGAATGTGGAAAGGAGTATTTCAGGCCAATAAAGGGGTTGACTAGGAGATTAATGAGAATAAAATGACTGAGAGCCATAACATATCTTTTGAGAAACCTATTTCCAAGTGTGTTAACATGTAGAGGACCCTTGCCAGAATATATCTGATGTGCACTACCGCTTTACTGTTTGACATAGGACACACCTTTGGATGTTGCTGAGGAAGTAACTTGACATCCTTTGGTACACATCACTCAAACATCATCTCAGGAATGGCCTTTACTATAACAGAACCAAGTTATAATCTTGATACTATATGCCTCACCCATTACTTTCTTGCATCTCTGTTTTAGGTTCTAGTGTCTGAACACTCATGCAGAATATGTACATAACTTTTGGTACCATGCCTCAGAAATCAGAGAATGGTAAGTTGATGTATGGTAGAGTAACATTGCAAAGTCTCCGTTTTCATGCAAGACTATAAAATAAATGTGGTGTCAGAGATACTACTAGGTGGGGTTATGCCAGTACTGATCCAGTAAATATCATGAGACAATTATTTCTTTGATGGAAGAAGAAAAATGAAAAGGTTCCCACTATAAAACGAGTATCAGCAGGATTTTCATTTTGAGCTTGGAGTTTAGGGTATGTTTAAGACAGATCAAGCCTTACCTCTTCAATCTTCTTCTGCATGACCTTCCACTGACTTTCCCATTCTCTTCTTTCATTGTCAAACTGGTCCAGTAACTCCATCTTTTCCTGATGCCATTTGGCATCTGTGTTCTCCCACCGTTTAGGCGGGTCCCTGGCAACTGTGGGAGCGCCAGCCAAGGGGTCTCTGCTCATCTCGGCCTTCTCTTCGCTGTTTCTTGGAAGCATGGAACTGTTTTGATTTGAAGTGGTCTCACTTGCCTTTAAAAATAAAGCCTGGGACAAACATAACAAGACAGAATCCCAGGTTCATATTCTTTCTGGCAACACATCATTTTTGTCAAGAGTCAGTGGTATAAGTAAACTATAGACAATTAAACACAGAAGAAGGGAACAGATATAAAAAATCTGTTTATAAAGGAGATATTTTTTTTAACACAGCCAGTAAAGTACTATTGTCCCAAAGACCTTTTCCTCTCTTTCGATGCTGCCAGCAAAGTTACAGTGGACAAAGTTATAGTGCATACGTGAGACATAAATATTTCTTTAACTAACTGCGTAATACAAAACTAGACTCTTTCCATAAATGTTCAAGCGTTTGAGTATGACATACAACTGTGCAGTTGCAGCTGCCTAGGTGGGATGATTCTGTAAAAAAGGGAATAAATTCTTTATGCGATGGTGATACTTAGTTGCATACTCCCAGGATTGAAGATCCTGAGCCAGTGCAGGGTAACTGTCTTAATTCTGTATTCAGAGATCAAACCCATGTTAGCTGTGAAGACTCAAAGCAGGTTGTCATATTGAGAGACTCATGTCTCAGCAGGAAACCAGCCCAATCTTAGCAATGAAGTGAAGGTCATTATTATATTTCCTCGAGTGAAATCTAAATTATCATTATTACTCTGGGAGAATTTTAACGTGTTAAAATTTATTTATGACCTCTTTTCTTTCCCCTGGACTAAATGTGTCTAGAGGAATAACTGTAGGAAGCTGCTTTCTTATGTTACACTAAGTAGTGACCAAAATAACTTGATTTCTAACATGCATAATATGAATATTTAGGGTTTTCTGAAACAATTAAAAATATCAGATATGGGGTTTACTGAGATGGCTTGGACTTTAAGATTGAATACTGCTCTTCGAGAGGACCCAGGCTTAGATCTCAGCCCCCTTATTGAGTGACCTACGGCTATCTGCGACTTCAGCTTCAATGAATTCAATAGCTTTTTCTGAAGCCTGTGGTCACTTACGTACGTGCACATACCCTCCAACACACACATATGCACACAGTTAAAAATAAACCTTAAAAGACCAGCTATGTAATTTTGTGATAGGCTTAGATATTTTCTTTATATTAAAGTAATGATGTTGTAGAGTTACTATATACTTTAGATAGGATAATAAATGCACAGTAATTCGAAACAATTTAAAAAAAAACCTTCTACTTTGGACTTTTAAAAATCTTGCTTTGTCTAAAGAAAGTTTTTATTAATAAAATCATGGATGTTTGTAGTGAATGGAGAAGTATATTTACAAATAAATTACTATTTAAAACAATTATGTCAGTAAGAAACAGAGTGGTGTGTAACTCAGCAGGCTCACATGCTTATTTTGTCGCGTCCTTGGGCTGGTCAGCTCTCCCCCCCCCCCCCCCCCCCGCTGTACACACACACACTGGAAAAAGGAAAGAAAACAAAGCAAAAACCGCAAACTCTGATTCTTCACTTTACTAATATATGGCCACAATGCTACAACGTTTTTGCTACTTATGCATGAATTTGCCAGTAGTCAATGTTGTGGTGTTTCTGGAAGAATTAATTCTGCATGATTATGTAGCAAGAACAACTTTGTATTCACAGAAGATAGATGCATCTTTCACACCCCATATACTAGATGATCATGAAAGATAACTTTTTGTCAGGCCTCTCCAGTCAAGATAGGAATAGATTATTATAGAGCAGAAGGAACTGAAAACATGGCTGTTTATGCAAGGCTCCATTTCTTCCTTAAATAATTTTATTAATGTTAGTATCTATAGTTTCTCAAAAAACATTACCAGTGACACTTTTTGCATATTTCCTTGGGACTCACAGTGTAATTATTAATTCAGTCAAGAAAAGTAAACAAATTTAAACTTAGTTACAAACATGTTCTCAATATCCTTTTGCCATTCATTTGTGCTCTGTTTCTAACCTCATTTTCTTTCCCATTATTACTGGTTTTCTTTCGTTATTTTCCCCGCTTATACGAGAGACCATGAAAATCTAACAAAATGAATGTAGCAAACAGTTTACAGAATTTGGCCTTTTGTTTTGCCTTATATAAACTTTACAATTTTATCTAATGATACTTTAGGTTTATCTAAAACCTGTTCCCAGGAAAAATCATCTGGGTTTGTTTGGAATGGAAGACTGATTTCAAACTATCCATAACAGACTGAGCTGAAAGTATCTCACTGACTAGATAGAATTGCTTCTGGGACTTCTTAGGAAAATTGGAGAGGTCTGAGACATCAAGAGGTAACTACAAATTTACCAAAGACATTATAAGAAGGTGGTGGAGTAATTACAAGAAATTTTGAAAAGAGGTTTTATGGTATTTCATGCTTTGTCCCAGCTGTGTTTAAATATTGGAAATGCACCAAAGTCATCCTCATATGGATTTACTATAGTCATATAACAATGGGTGCAAGTTCCCTTTCATTCCTAACTCATCTTGAACAATACACATCAGTGTTTAAAGGTATCAAGCCCTTCTATCTTTATCTACGAGAAGATGATCCAGAAATACTCTAGATCAGTTTTTATCTCTAATAACAGGAATATGTTACCCAGGAAGGAAGCCTGAATTCTGAAGTATCTGCAGATAGTCAAACTCATCAGTTTTGAAGGGCCAGTCTACACAGCCTCCCCTTTCCAGAGCCGCAATAAAACCTAGTTCCTCAAAGGTAACGGCTATGATTGAAAACCAGCTACAGCCATTTCATACGAAAAAGAAAGCTTTCCAGAAAGTTTATTTACAGCTATTTCTGTGTAAGTGTTTTTAGCGGGGATTTCCTTGGCTTTGCCAGCATCTCTCTGTCATTTATGTAAACATCAATGTTGCTGTAACACGGCGGGAGATATCGTACAGTCCTCTGTAATCAACATGTACATTAGCACCCACTTCAACACAGGGAAGGTACTGCACCGTCCTTTAAAAACAGAGTTTGTGCGGGGCATAGAAACATTCCAAAGAGTAAGCAAGTGGGACAATGCGTAAGAAGACTGATCACTGCTGCTCTCACAGTGAATTCTTCATATGTGCTGATTTCTTCCCCTTGCCCTTCATATTCCCTCTTTCTCTGCATCCTTTCCTTCACCCCTCTCCATGTAACCCGCTTTCTTTTTCTCAAGTAAAACGGATTGTTTCAAACATTGGAACAAGTTTATCGGAAGCAAGTCTAAATGTGTGAACTATTACATTCCCTTTGATTGTGTCTTGCTTTGGCATTTTTCAGTTTTCTTAAGGATATATGCCAAGTATTGAGTTCAAAGCAATTTGTTGCTAGTAAAAAAGTTGAATAAATATTCAAAGCTGCTTCTTGTTAACATTTGAAATTGAGTTTTTAGAATGTCATGCTAAAGGGTCAATTTTGTGGGGACAGAATGTTCTGTGATTAGAAGTTTCAGGGTCAAGTGGATTTGCACATTCAAAAGCTTGGCTTTAGTGCTCTCCACTGAAGCAAATATAAAAGTTCTCTTTGTTCTTAACTGTCACTCTTTCCCTCCCACAGATTTTGGCATCTCTGTGGGAGAGAAGAAAGGATTTGTGTATTTGCATCCCCTTTCCCATATCCCCTTGCTGTCTTTTTCATTTCAGCTTTCCCAAACTTCATTGAAAAATTCAAGTTTTATTAGAGGAAATGTGGAAGGACTGAGGTACACGCATTTGTTAGTCTCTCCCCCAGAAAAACTAAACTAGCATTGTGCAATCCCTTTTAACCTACTTCTCCTCCCTGAAGCCCAGAGCCAGGATTATAAGAGGTTGGTAATGGGTTGCACAAGTGTGGTGATGGGAAACAAAAATGGTTTAGCCATGTCTTGCCAGGAAGCAAAATTTAAGAACAGCCAAGGGGTCTCCCAGAGTATGAATGATAAAATTCAAGCTTTGATTGTAATCACCTTTTGGCTTGGGGAAGCAAAGATCTCAAAGTAGTAACAACCTTGAGCAGGGGATATAGTATTCCCAAGATCTGCCTCAGTTTGCTCATTATACTTCTTGTTTTTTGTTTGTTTGTTTGTTTTGTTTGCTTGTTTTACAAGACAGGGTTTCTCTGTGTAGCCTTGGCTATCCTGGACTCACTTTGTAGGCCAGGCTGTCCTCATACTCATAGAGATCCACCTGCCTCTGTCCCCCTAAGTGCTGGGATTACAGGCCTGAACCGCCGTACCTGGCTATAGTCACATATCTTTACCTGACATGTGCTCAGTTCTTTCTATATCACAGTTATGAACCATTTTAAACTCCATCTTCCCTGCTGAAACTGGATTTTAGCCATGCAGACTATGGAATGTCAGGAAAGGTTACTCTATTGCTTCTTCTCCGAGGAGAATCCTGCTCTGAGCACTTGTTTGGTGCCCTCTTATTTTCTTTTTCTCTAAGCATGTTATCTTTCTTATAATTCAAATTCTTTACAAACATGAGGATGCATGAAGGACTACCAGAGACAACAAATACTGCCAACCTCACAGTTCCTAGAAGAAATTATGTGGCCTGGCGATGTGTTGCTCCTGGTGAATTTTGAAGGATCAGGAAGCCCTGTGCCTGTACCTCCAAGTACTACATCATTTGTCCCCAAAATTCCTAGCTCACTTCCCAGGTTATTATCAATCACTGGTACCATTTCAGGAAATGAAGGACTCCCATTCCTCCTCTGTTGTTCATCAAAAAATGCACCTATCTGAAGACATCCCAATTTGATTATATTTGACGATAAAATGAAAAAAATTGCACTGCTTTTCATTGCTGTTTCTGCCACCTCCTCATTTTCTAGCAAGGTCAAAGGGATACAGCACATCCAATTCCAAATTGGAGTCAGTTTTGTTTGCTCATTTTATTACCATCTTTTATTGTTGGCTCTCCAGTTATTAATATTTCAGTCCAAGCTATAGACACATCAATTTTAGTTTCCTTAACTGGTAAAATACAGGCTTTGATTAAAAACAACTTTTGGCTCTGGGAAG